ACATGGGTCAGCAGATTTCATATATGGATTCTGCATCAATCCATAAACATCATATCACAATTCAATAGTTTGCCCTTCCATCTCAATGATCTTCAATACATTTAAATTATATTTGGCAAGTGTAGGCAGAATTACTATCAAAATATCAATATACAAAAATGGGCCTTAGATAGGAAGCATAGTTTACCAGTTTCAATCTCATGAAGTGTTTAACCCTCTTCGGGCCCTATGTGACTAATGTTATGCCCAATAATTATCTGTGTCGGATAGGGCTAGAAAACAAGCCAAATTACTCAAACTCGATTAGTGTTCAGGTCATTAAAAATTCGTTTGAGAACGACTCGTTATGTAAACATGTCAAACATCACTGCAGGAATTTTTGGCATTAGCGACGTTTAAAAAACGCCACTATAAGCCTTAAAAACGCCGCTAAAGGATAAAGTGACGTTTATTACTTGCGTCGAGGATACGGCCGCCGTCTTAGGTTATTGACGTTTATTAAACGTCACTAATGACTTTAGCCGGCGCTTTTTAAAACGCTGCAAATTCTCAAACATCCGTTAGCATAAACCGTCACAGTTAAAAGCTGACGTCATATAACGACATTTAATGACGTTTTTTAAAAACGCCATCTTTTCCGTTGCAGTTAAACACTGACATCATATCACGACATTTAGTAACGTTTTTTTCAAAAACGCCATCTTTTCTCCTTATTTTAAAAAAAAATATAAAATGAACAAATATAAATAAATTTCATTTGCCCTGACTAAATCTGCAAAATAATACGCTTCTCCCCCCCAAAAAAAAAAAAAAAGATTTAATTTTCAAATTGCACTATTAGTTAAATAAGGTCAAATCTAAAAGTCCAAGATTGTATACAGAAGCACATAAACTAAAAATAAACCAAACAAGTTTAATTCCTCTTCCAGATCACTAAAATTTTACATTTGACAAACAATAGAAAAAAAATTGTAACATTTCCTACCTATTTATATTTAACCACAAACCATAACCCAAAAAAATGTTAAAAAACCATCAAAATATTAAATAACTCATTCATAGGCCAATGCTTATTTCAAGGAACAAGCTGGCCAATGCTCCTACAAAAAAACACTGGAATCAGTCAAAAAAATAAAGAAGCTAACCCAAAATAAAATAAAAAGTTAACAAATTATAATCATTGCCAATAATAAAGTTAACAAAAAGTTAGCACATCAATCGCAAGTTAGGTTCAAAACTCTCACCTCCTCTTGTACGCACCCACATTCAAACTTCACGTTCATCACATAAATATATACTCATAAGAGAGATTACAGATAGTTCGAGATAGTTCGAGTACGGAGAGCACCACCTGATGAAATAATACTAATAAATAGATAACCAACATTCTCTTTCTCTGGACTGTGTTCTTTGTCTTAATCCTACGGTAAACTCTTATCCTCACATCACCAATCAATGAAAACAAATTTTATCTTCAGTTTTACTTTCAAAGTTTCTCTTTATGGCTAAAGATAAAGTAAGCGTAATCTTAATCCAATTAGTCAATTGCATCACCAAATTTTTATTTCAACCCAACAATACTGAAACACAAAACAAAATGATTCACATAATAAAACAATGAGATTGTAATGATGCAAGGATCTCCAAACAAAATGATGCAAATAACACATCTTGTAATCAACCTTTATTGCATAGCTAGAACTAACCCCAAACAGTGAAAAATTAGATCCAAACATGAAATCTGTGTGCTCTGACTAATCCGATGAACTTGGTTTGATAGTCTATCACTTCATCAAGTTGGCTCCAAAAGTGATATAAACCCTCTCCAAAAGCATTTACTTCTGAACTCTCATCAATTTATTCATTCCTAGTTCTATCCTTGCCCAACTTATAAATTATCCATCTCAATGTTCCCATTCTGGCCATGCTAGTTTACGAACTTGTTTTTTAGATGCCAAACATTTAATCTGATAAAAAATGGCTGAGCTTTATCAGAAGCACTGCTCCACTAGCAAATTTTAACATCGTTTTGTGTAGTTGTAGAATGTCCAACATCTGATTTCTAAAAGCAACAAGAAGCGTATAAGATAGCACATCCAAAAACAAAAGCAGAATGGCTAATTAATAAGTTAATACTGTAACTACGCAGGATGTTAGACAATTGATAACTAGAGTTGAGAAAAACAAACTTCAGTCATATAGTGCAGAAGAAAAAGCTTGAACTTACCCTAAAACAAGAGTTGTCATGCTATCAATGACAAGCAACTTCACTTGGTGCTGGAGGAGCGAAACCTTGGTTTGCTGCAAGTTGGTGAAAAAGAAAACAACATATAATATTCAAAATTAATTGCAATAGTCTCTCAGTTGATAAGTCTAGAAAGAGTAAGAACAATGGGCTGCTGGGGTTGGTTGACTTTAGATTGAGCTTGAACTTGAGCAGGGCTTAATCTGAGAAAACAATTTCCTGTTCAAGTTTCATTTGCTAAGGTTTGGCCAAACTCAATCATGTTCATGAGCCTAATCAAGCTTGTCAAGTTTGTTCATTTACCTATTCATTCTAATTTCCATATCGAAAGATATTCAACTTCAATTGCAATTACAAGATACTCCAAGAGCTTATCCATATTTTTGTCATATCTAAAACGCAAGGTACTTTTTCCTTTTTGTCACAGTTACCAAAGCCATATAAGTGTAGCGCCAACTTTTCATGAGGCCTCAAGTAAATCCCAATTTCAATAGAGTTAGTTTGTGGAGCAATCTTGCCCAAAACCTAAGCTTGAGCTTGGTTGTGAATGGGCTTCTTAACAAGCCCAGTATGAGATGCTTATGTCAACATTACTTTCTTTATAAAACCCTGTCTGAACTTAAATTCAAGAGGAAAGTTTGATAAAGTCTCTAGGAGGTCATACCAGATAGTTCAAATATTCATATGTTAACCATCTAACAAACTGGCATTAACAGTCTTAAAAGAGGCTCTCAATCAATCGGCACTTCAAATTGAATCTAATCATTTGATTGAGGTTCTTTTTGAAGAAAAGTTATTGATATATATATATATATATAAAGTAAAGTGTA